GTAATTACTGTTGTCCAATTTGTCTCGCTGTCCAGCGCGTCCATTCATCATTGTTAATGAAAGTCATAAAAACAACCTTACCCTATAGGTCTACTGTTAGCTACTGCATTTTTGTACATAACATTAGCTTACAATATTTTTTGTGTTTGAGGGTTTTAGCATAAACTTCCACTAAGTTTTTATGTGTTTAGTGGTTTGGTGGTAGATGACCCCCACAGGAAGAGGTCAACTGCTGACCCCTCTGTGGTTTTGCTTGGCTTACCACTTCACAGCTGGATTTCTGTCCTTCCCAGTCCCTTCCACTTCATCAGAAGTGGTAAGAAAATTGCACAAATAATTCAATTGATTCAAATAAATAACTCTTGACTCTTCCAAAGAGGATTTGGGAACGCAGACATGACATGCAGGAAAGCAATTACTGAAAAGGGTTCAAGTTTGTGATCGATACTGTGAACATATGGGAAAGAAGCAGTTTGGTTTAATTCTGAGGAATAAAAGCCCAACAGATGAGGTTCACTTTATCTGTGTTGATGGAGAATGTATGAAGATTCTTCTTGGCTACATGCAGCCAGGATGCATGAAGTTGAGTTATTGAAGCTGAGCAATATAAATTCTGAGTTAATCCTGCACAGCAACAGGCAGTGTTCAAGCATGTTCTAGAAAAAAGCGTTGCCATGGGGAGAGAGGATGAAGATGATATTCTGGAAGAGGAGGGTAGCTGCACGAGTGAAAGAAGGTTTCCATGATGGAGGACAGAGAAAACAAAAAGAACAAGGGATGAAGATGGTTGCAGCCTGTCAGATCATTTCAGCAAAGGTCTGAAACCAGAGCTCTACTGAAGCAGGCTGGCTTCCTTCTGTCCTTCTCCCAAAGCGAGAGTCCATTTCATTCCACTATCGCCTCAGGCATGATCAGAATGAGGAACTACGGCCAAGTGATGCCATTGGTTGAATTTTCATAATGTGAAAAAAAAACAACATAATAAACCCAACTAATCATAAATATATGATGGATTTAGTCAAAATCCTACTGTACATTGTTCTAATTAGTTAACTGGATCAGAAAGAAACGTCAAAAAAATTAAACAAAGTCTAAAATATAAAACTAAACCTTTATTTCATTGCACCAGTTCAACAGTTTCATTTACATATCAACAAAAACAAAGAGGTTTCAGGCGATCTAGTGAACCGGCTCTATACACAGAGTGCAGCGATGATCACAGCGATCGATGGCCGGTCTCCAGCAGCAGCGCCTCCAGGGTTAACCGGGTCTGGGCAGGGATGAATGGCTGGTGGAGCCAGCAGGACAGATAGACCATGTGCAGGTCAGAGACGGCGGTGTGGGCTAGTTCCTGCAGAATCACCTGCTTCAGCTTCAGTTCCTGGCTGAAGGCAGCCAACAGAACCCGAGAGGACTCCTCTGGAACACACAGGTAGACACGAGTTCATAAAACCACCGAGGCTCAAAGGACAGGAGCATGGAGGTTATTTGTTCACATTTCAACATGGTACTTTCACACTTCAGCAACCTTTACAAAATTCTTGCATCTTCTGAAGGATAAAACTGCACAGAACAGATCTAGAGTTCAAAAACCTAAGAATGTATAAGGAATGAAACACAAATAAACCAAATGATCTTTCCACTGTTATGTTTCTTAAACAGCCTGAAAAACTATGGAAGTTGATTTCCGCTTTTTCTAGATCTGGATGGAGTAGAAAAATATTCATATCCTGTTGTCAAAATGCTGCGATCCTCCTATCAATGAACCCTTCCTACTCTACTTCCTATCCATCCTTATTTTCTATAAGTTTATCCTTCCTTGTGCCCTCAATTTTTATCTTCCCTCAATTCTTCCTTGCTTGCTTCCATCCATCCCTATTTTTTCTTCCTTCCTTCCATGCTTGCTTGCCTTCTTCCTTCCTAGTGTCCAACTTCACTTCCTTCCTTCCTGACTCATCACTGAACCACACAAACAAACTACATCAGAGTTTAGTCAGAGTTCAGAGTCAAACAGGTAAACATTGTGTGTGCTGGCTTCAGGTGGACTAACCAAACTCTTGGGTCTTCCAGCTGTGGAAGAGAGGTAACGTTCTTCCTTCAGGTCCAAACTGAAACTCCTCCAGATCCTGGATTCCTCGCTGTACGCTCATCAGATGCTCCATCTTCGCCACTATGATAACCTGAACAAATGAAAAAACAAACCTGTGTTGGATCTAGCATCGCATTAACTCGCCGTTCCCGCTAATGACAGGAAGCCTTAACAACTGGAGTCGTCAGTCATTTGATCTGAGTTGGTAGTTATGCTCAGCTGACGCTAAATGAAGCATCACCATTCGGTCAACGACAGCCTGCAGCCTGGAGCATTCATCCTGCAGCTCTGCTGCTGCAGCTGCCTGCTGCGGCACGGCTGAAGGAAACGTCTGACATGCTGAAGCTGGAGGAAAGTCATCCAGAGGCTGCAGGTTTCTCTGAGAACTGGGGAAGAAAATACAATAGATGAGAACATTTTATATTGGACAGTTTCTGGGTCAACTATGGTCTGGAAGACGATCTCACTGTGAGCAGCTGAGATTGTTCTGAGTAGATTGGAGTCTTTTGTTTTTACTATGGTGGTATAGGTGAGATGTAAATTAATTCGATTCACGGGGTTAAAGCAGCACATCTTACAGCCATCAAATGTGCTGTGATTAGTAAATTAATACATTATTAAAAATCGAATTACTGCCCGTTTATTAAGAAAACATCAAAATACAGGAAGGTAATGAACTGAGCACACTCACTTCCTCATGTTGACGATGTTTGTTGCACACTGGAATCCGTCGTTGTTCAGTTTGTCCCACTTCAGCATCAGGTTGTGCCAGTCGGCCGCATTGTCTTTGATCTTCCGAGCACTTCCTGTGACTGCGGAGAACTTTGTGCTGGACGAAGACATTGGAACATCAGCCGGGACACCTGAGAACACATTCACACACATATTAACACAAATTGTCCCTGTGGAAAGAAACAGTCCATACTTATCTATTTCTATGCCAAGAAAAACAAGCCCAGATGAACACCACACAGTGTATTAGATCATGTTAGATTGATATGATTTAATATACTGCATGGCAGATTAGAGTTCTATCTATTTTCAGAAAATCTTGATGACATCTGAAGAGGATTCCCAGCAGAAGGAGAACATTATTTAGATGTGAACTGAGCAAATCAGTGTCTGGAGGTGCCATCATTTTCTCTAATTGCACATAAACACAGTTATAACATTTTGGGACCAAAAAAGAGACAATCTAGAGTCAGCGAGCAGCTTCAGCTGTAACTACAGTAATAATCAGGCTTGAAATGTTGGTGTAGTGATAGACTCAGACCTGAACCTTCACAGCCACAGGAAGACAATTACAAAGTCAGCCTTGTATCACCCTTCTATCACTTTATTTTAAACGACAGCTGTCTCAGCGAGACCTAGAGAAACTCATCCATGTGTTTATCTTTAGTCACTGGAGCTCAGAGAACAGATTTCGAAATACTGTTGTTAGTTTGTAAGTCTCTGAATCGCCTAGCAGCAAATAACATTAAACTGAAGATCTGCTCCAGATCTCTCAGGTCTTCTGGTTCTGGTCTGCTTTGCATCCTCACTAACAGAATCAAACATGGACAAGCCGACTATAACAGCTTTTACGTCACTGACGATGAAACAGTACTCGTCTTCATCATTAAACATTAATCGTGAGCTCTAAATCTCTTTAGTCCCGTTAAAAATGCAACTCCTTGGTTTCACTAACCGATGTCTCCCTTCCCAATATGGCGGACGCGTTGACGTGTCGCTACAACAAGAGCTCAGCATGTAGCTCATTTTTGACTCTGGTCTGAAATTTGTGTTATATTTGGTGACAGTTAGTTACTGTCATTCTATTTTATTTGAGAATCGGATCAAGAACATTTATTTAAGTATAAATGTAAAAAAAAAAAAAAAAAAAAAACAAATCGGATGTTACTCTGGATCCTAATCCAGTTTTCTAACACTGCAGCCCATAAACTGCTGCACAGATCATGTTAGATTGATATGATCTAATATACTGATCTGCAGTCTAAATGTCTGCAGATAACAGACCACTTTCTATGTGAAGGAGAAACATGTTACTTACATTAACACGTTAGTCCGTCAGTCACCTACTTCCCATAGTTTGCTCTTCTTCTACTGCTACTTCGTTTTGTTTTGTCTCTGATGGGCCGTGAGCGCCCCTAGCGATCAACGACCAGTATGACTAGATAGATAGATAGATAGATAGATAGATAGATAGATAGATAGATAGATAGATAGATAGATAGATAGATAGATAGATAGATAGATAGATAGATAGATAGATAGATAGATAGATAGATAGATAGATAGATAGATAGATAGATAGATAGATAGATAGATAGATAGATAGATTGTCACGTAGCAGGTCTATAACAGTGTCCACTTTGATCTCGATACATCAACTTTATTTTCAATATTTCTGCACTTTCAACTTCAATTTCAGTTTTTACCAGGTAAACAGTGGAAATATCAACAAATTGACAAAACAACAAAAAAATCCCATTTCGTCATGTTTTTCCAATGATCCTTTCTAGTTGACAGTAGACATTTGATTCAACTGCTTCATTTTATTTGCATTTCACAGAATCTAGTGGAGAAATTTAACGTAATATTGTTAAGACAACGTCATCAACTTTGGCACAAATGGAGCCCCGTAGAGAGCTGACAAATCTCTGTTAATGTTCACCGAATTGTTTTTACAGCAGAACGGAAAACCCGGAGTTAACCATGACTTCAAAGGTTCAAAATAATAATAATAATAATAATAATAATAATAATAATAATAATAATAATAATAATAATAATAATAATAATAATAATAATAATAATAATAATGTATGCTACTATATGTCGTGTCCGATTTGTTTGTTTATAATGTCACTCCGGACATTATAAACCTTTGGCAAACATCAGCGGAGTGACGTCTTCAGGTTTACGCAGATTCGCAACTCAATGACGCAAGCAGGAAGTTGGGAGAAAGTCTGAGCATCCTCGGAGAAAAGAACTTCAGCTCGTAGGAGAAGAGAAACAACAAGAATCCAGAGCGACCGACCAGACTGGTGTCCGTCTGAACCGCCTGGTGTCTCCGTTGGTTCGGACAATGACGTCAGCTGTCCAGCTCCCCAACGAACTCTGGCTTCAGGTGTTCAGCTTCCTGTCCTGGAAGGACAAGCTGAGTCTGCGCTGCACATGCTCCCACTTTAAGCAGCTGCTGGATGAGTGTCGGCCGCTGTGGCGGGGCTTCAGCGTGGTGCTGAAGGACCTGTCCCGGTACAACCGCTCGTTCTGGCGGAGCCTCGCTCGGAGGCAGCTGGACAGCGTCGCGCTGCGGGGCGGCAAGAAGAGGGACCTGAAGCTGCTCTCCGTCTGGCTGCCTCTGCTCCAGGCCCTGCGGCTGGACAGCTGGAGGGGAAACGACGTCCAGGAGCTGAAGCGGTTCCGCCACGTAAACAGCCTGACTCTCACAGCCTGTTCAGAGCCGCTGGCGAACCTGAACTTTCTCCTTCCTCTGGGTCAGCAGCTGACCCAGCTCAGCCTGTGTAATGTGCAGCTGGCCTGTCCCCCCTCCCAGCTGCTGGCCAGCCTCTCCCAGCTGACTCGCCTCAGGTCGCTGGTTCTACACCATGACGGCTGTCTGAAGATCCCGTCGCTCAGAGGTGTCCTCTCTCAGCTGGTTCACCTCAACTCCCTGTCCTGGACCATGATCAACTACAAAAGGCTGTCTCAGGACTTCTTCTGCCCGGCCACTGTCCCAGGTAAACAAAAGGGGAAACTTTCACTTTAAGACTGGAGGTGGGCGGGTCAATCCAAAAATATTGGTAATATCGCTATTGATAATATCGGTATGGGTATCAGATTGAAATGCTCCATTCTATAGTTTCAGATTCCCTCTTGAAATTGTATTTTATTTTGTGTTGTAGTTTATCAATTCTTCTGTAAAGATGATAACTTTTTGCACTTTGTTTATTTAGAAAGATAATTAGTTTCTATTGCTATTGTTTATCATGGAAATATAGTATCCAAGTGTTTTGTACACACCTATAAACTTTAAAGTTTGTCCTATGTTTAAAAACCACAATAATGCCAGAAGGACAGGTGTTTAATGATACATCATTGCTTTCATATAAGTGTCAATATTGGTAAAACTGACTGTGTATTGGTATCAGATCAATACCAAAATATCACACACTTAAGACTGAAATTGACATTTTCTCACAAGGACATGAAAAATTAGAATATTAATGAGAAGCTGACCAACTGATGTCAAAATGGTTGTCAGACCTGCAGGAAAAGCAGGTAGTAGATCCATCATTGGGTCCCATCATTGGGTCTACTTCTGAGGGGAAATAGACCCAATGATGAGAACAGTTATAAAGTAAGCAAAGAAAAAAAGATCTAATCAGTTAATATAAAACTATTTATTGGTGTATAAAAGTGTTTGATCCAAGAGAAAAACAGAACTTAGTATTTAGTCCAGAATCCTGTGTTTACAGCTCCAGAGGTCAGATGTTTCCTGTAGTTCTTAATCAGGTTTGTGCTGCAGCAGGGATCCGGTCCACTCCAGGACTGGTAAATGCTCCCTGCAGGGCCAGGCTGCGTGTTTGGGGTCAGACTCAGTCATGACCTGTCTTCAATGCTCTCTCTGAGGGAAGGAGGTTGTTGCCCAGAACCTCGTGATCCGTCCTCTTCTCAATATGATGCAGTCCTCCCGTCCCCATGTCCAGAATGCTTGTACCCCTTATTTTTCATCTCTTTTTCTGTCTCTCTGAATGATAAAAGTCTTCAGTCTGGTTTTTGGTCTCAGCTACCCTTATATTTATTTGTTTAATTTATTTTTTCTGTTGTTTTCTTTATTTAATTTGAATATTTCAAATGTCTTTCATTTCCCGTGTTAAATGTTCATTATAATTGAACGTTTATTGAACGTTGAGAATGTGTTCTTGCATTATTATGCCATTACCATCATATTACTTGAAACAATAATATTATCATTAGTCACAATAATGTCTGGAAAAATGCACGTTATCTTGGTGACAGGCCAACATCAAGTTGCAGACATGAGTTATGTCCGTACCCGACTGTTCCATGCTTTACAGTAATTAATCCCGAGTGTTGCTGTGCCATTTTATAAAAGAAAATGTAGTTCTTTACTAAGACGATATTATCTTTTTGATAAATGCGCTTTTACTCGCAATTGAATTTCCGATATCGGAATGGTTTGAATGTTTTAAGAGACAAAAAGCCAAAAGCTTTTTGTCTCTGACAGATTTCTGACAGAAATCTGTCAGAGACTTTACTGCTGTGTTCGGACGCGGTTCTTTCTACATGTCCTGCTTTAATAGTCTAGTCTAATGGGATATTCAGAGCTATCATTATTTAAGAGATCCCTCTGTCCGCTCTGAACATCCTTTTTTGGAAAAGTCAGCTCGGTCCTAGCTAACATTCCTGGAAGTCCTGAACTGAGAACGTCACAGAGACAGTTTTCCACGCGTCTGAAAGTATCAGCCTTGTTTGGAGGCACTTTTTAGCTGATGAAAACTGAGTCGTTGGATGCTAAATTGTCTGACTGTTTTTGTGCCCGTGAAACATGGGAGGAGTTCAAACTTGTGTTTGATGAATAATACTCCCCCAAGCCTGTTTTTCTGGATCCCAACACTTGATCCGGTTGCCTTACGGTATGCTATTTTTCCATTTCTGGATTCTTCCTTTATTGTATCTTCACTTAAAGCTGCAGTATTTACATATTAAAATATGTTTAACTATTTGTTAGAATGATCATTATGTTGTGACAGTTTAGTATAAGACAGATCATCAAGCTCCTCTTCTCCCAGTGCTCCCAGGCTCAACTGGACTGAGCAGCACTGACAGACACCGCTAAGCCCCTCCTCCTGGCTCTGATAGGTTATTTTTGAACATTAGCGGTGCATTTTTTCAGATGGCAGTATTAGCACTACATACTCCAGTTTTAGTGACATAAGAAACAGTATAAGCATGGCCAATAAGCTGTCGGCCTCCTAACTTACTGCTGTTCTCCCTGCAGCTGCTGGAGCCTCCCTGCAGCTAACTGAGCTGCAGCTGCTGAACTACGATGCTGCAGTCACCCCGGAAGTTCTGCAACCTTTGGCCAATCTCCGCAGCCTGTCGGTCTTCCACCTTTACTCTGTACCCGGACCCACCTGCCACCTGCAGACATGGCTGTCATCACTGCAACAGCTCTGCAGCCTGAGTGTGCACGGTAACTATCACCGGGTAAACAGGACCTGTTAAAAATGACCAATATCAGGCCTACAAGTTATTATCACTGGAGACTTTAGTCAAGTGTTAAGTAAGTAATAAAGAGGTGGGGGGAGTAATAAGAAATTGTTTTTGAACTGTGGCAAATAAATATGTGTCTCAATTTCAAAATAAATGTTGTCTAATCATATATTGCTACTGCCACCAACTGTTTTGGAGAGGTACTGCTTGTTCTGGAGGCGAGCTCTGCTTTTGAGTTAGCGCCCTATTGGAGCAATCCATCACTTGGCAGTGTGGTGGACATGGACAAAGGTTTATTACGATATTTTATGGAACCATTCTGATGGCAATAAAAGTGACAATAAGAACTATGTATTACTTCTGTTTTAGATAACTGTGACTGCACAACGCAGCAATCACAGCCAAAAAACAAAAATGCTGCTCTTGAAAAACATTTGTAATGAGCTCAGTAGGACACTTAAAGAAGTGGGATTTGTTTCATTAAACTGTAATTTCATTTAATCATATCTTCCAATTTATTGATATGTTTAGATTCTCTCATTGAATAAGGAATTGGGAAAACAGTAAAAAAAAAATTCCAACAAAACATTTTTTTTTTGTGGAAATATTAATTGGAGTGTACATTAATATTAATAATGTTTTACATATAGTGCAGCGCAGCCATTTTGAATTTTCAGGTTTGAGACTAGTTTAAAATCAGTTTCTAGATCTGAGTTAAACTCCAAAAAGCCCAACAAGATCCACTTTATACAACCAACCCAGCAGCTACAGTCCTAATCAGCACCGTCAAACTGAAAGTGACTCTTCTGATTGTCTGCAAACAGGAGGGCACCCCCTGGTGGTGTATGCTGACTTCCTCCCATCCTCCCTACGCAGCCTGACTCTGTGTGTGGACCTTCAGCCTGAGGACCTGCAGGTCGTCTCCTTCAGAGCTCCCAACCTGAGGCACCTGCACCTGGAGCCCTGGAGCTCCTCCTCCAAACTAGTCAGGCTCCTCCCACAGCTGTTCCCTGGCCTGAGGACGCTGGCCATCAGGTGGGTCACTCAAACGCCGGCCTCTCCAGCTGCGTGTCCATGTCAAATATGAGCATATCTTTCTCGATAGTGTGCTGACTTTGAATAAACACAATTTTGCAATTACTGTTTCTGTCAAATAATATATCAAATTAAATCACATGTGAATAAGCCTGTTCTTGCAATAAGTCATTAAAAAATCATGGCAGCGACAGATGCAAACATTTACATGAGATATATTCATAATTCAACGGCCATCATTTATCAGCTAATCAGGGGAGGTGTCAGCATTGTCCAAAATAAAAACAGAAATAAACCAATATCCAACTGGTGTTTCCATTGAAAAAAATGAATAAGTTAGTTCACACGATAAGCCACTCTGTCGTCCTTCTCCCACTTCCTGTTGTCCTCTTTGTCGTTTTCACCAGTAGTAATATCTAACTGTTGATCACGTGACTCCTGTGATGCAAAATGTTTCCAATTGCAGTTTTGCAAAATACATCTGTTTCTATATGCCAATAAACCACCTAGAATAGAATAGAATAGAATAGAATAGCATTTATTGTCATTGAACAGGATTCAACGAAATTTCTATTGCAACTCCCGTGCAAAAAGTCAAAATATACAATATTAAATAAACAAACACACAGTAATAATAATATATACAACTAAAATTAACTAAAGGCACTCAACCACACCAAAGAAGAAGCAGCAGGTCCAATTATGGTAAAGTGCAGATGATGTGACAGTGCAAGTGCAGAACAATATGGCTGTGTGGGGGTGGGGGGTGTATGTGAGGTTATGATTTGTGTGGGAGGGGGCGGCAGGGAGTAATGGCTCTGACGGCTGTGGGGAAGAAACTGTTTCTCAGTCTGTTTGTTGTAGTCCGTATATTCCTGTACCGCTTGCCTGATGGCAGCGGCACAAACAGTCTGTGGCCCGGGTGGCTGGAATCCATGGCTATGGATCCAGCTCTCTTCTTGACCCGGCCTATGTAAATAGAGTCCAGGTCCGGGAGGGGGCATCCCACAATGCCTTGTGCTGTTCTCACCACCCGTGTCAGTTGTTTCCTCTCTAGTGCTGTGCAGCTACCATACCACACAGTCACGTTGAGGCAGAGGACGCTCTCGATCGTCGCCCTGTAAAAGTTCAGGAGCAGCCGTGAGGAAAGTCCAGCCCGTCTCAGTTTCCTGAGGAAGAAGAGCCTTTGTTGTGCTTTCTTCACCAGGTGGGAGGTGTTGGTATTCCAGGAGAGGTCAGACGTGATGTGGAGGCCCAGGAACTTGATGTTGTCCACACGCTCCACCTCTTCTCCATCTATGAGAAGGGGAGTGTGACCCGTCCTCCTGGACCTTCTGTAGTCCACAATGACCTCCTTGGTCTTCCCTGTGTTCAGCACCAAGTTATTGGCTGAACACCACTGAGTGAGCTGCTGAATCTCCTCTCTGTAGGGGGTCTCGTTGTTGTCTGAAATGAGACCCACTACTGTTGTGTCGTCCGCAAACTTGACGACTGTGTTGGTGGGGTGGATGGCAACGCAGTCGTGTGTAAACAGGGTGAAGAGAGCTGGGCTGAGCACACAGCCCTGCGGCGTGCCTGTGTTGAGGACCAGTGGGGACGATGTTGAGCCACCTATTCTCACCACCTGAGGCCTGTTGGTGAGGAAGTCTCTGATCCAGTGGCACAGTGAAGCAGGCAGCCCCACCTTGAGTAGCTTCAGCACCAGCTTGTCTGGGATGACGGTGTTAAATGCTGAGCTGAAGTCTACAAATAGCATCCTGACGTAGGTGTTGGGATGCTGCAGATGGGTCAGGGCTGTGTGCAGAGTGATGGAGACAGCATCCTCTGTTGACCGGTTTGCTCTGTAGGCGAACTGGAGGCTGTCCAGGTCTGCAGGGATGAAGTGTTTGATGTACCTCAGAAGAATCCTCTCAAAGCACTTCATGATCACCGGGGTCAGAGCGACGGGCCGGTAATCGTTCAGGCTGGTGATGGTCGTCTTCTTCGGTACAGGGATGATGGTGGAAGACTTGAGACACTCAGGAACCATGGTGAACTGCAGGGACAGATTGAAAATGTCCAGAAACACTCCTGCCAGCTGGTCGGCGCACGTTTTCAGCGTCTGGCCTGACACCTTGTCCGGTCCTGTAGCTTTGCGGGTGTTGATCCTCCTTAGGGTGGACGTCACCTGGTGCTGCTGCAGGACGAGAGGCTGGTACTGCTCTTCCAGTCGGGGTAGATGTACAGCTTCTCTGCTGCCCACTGTGTCAAAGCGGGCAAAGAAGCTGTTTAAGGTGTCAGGCAGGGTGGGGTCGCGGCTGGTCAGCTGAGTGCTGTGTTTGTAGTCCGTCATGGTCCTGATGCTTCTCCACATGCTACTGGGGTTGTTGATGAAGTGTTCCTCAATCCGCTGTTTGTACTGGAGCTTGGCCTGCTTAATTCCTTTTTTCAGTTCCGACCGGGCCCTGCTATAAGCCAACCTGTCTCCAGATCTGTAGGCAGCATCCCGGGCTTTCAGCATGGTTTCTGGTTTGGAAACACTTTTATGGTCTTAACAGGGAGGACAGCATCAGTGCAGAACTGAATATAGGACAGAACGGACGATGAGTATTCCTCCAAGTCTGCTCCGTCCCTGAACACACTCCAGTCTGTGTGCTCAAAGCAGTCCTGAAGTGCAGAGGAGGCCTCCTCAGTCCAGACCTGAACTATTCTGGTGGTCGGCTTAGTTCTGCAGGCCAGAGGCTTGTAGACAGGAATCAGCTCCACTGAGATGTGGTCAGACATGCCCAGATGTGGACCTGCTACAGCCTTGTAGGCTCCGGGGGTATTGCAGTAAACCTGATCCAAAATGTTATTGTCTCTGGTGGGAAAGTTTATGAACTTGTGGAATTTGGGAAACACAGCCTTCAGTTCCACGTGGTTAAAGTCCCCGCCACAATCCTAAAAGTAACGACTTTTTGTTGGATCTTTTTAAATTGGCATTTTTCCATGAAGCTAATTTATTCCCGTAATTTTAATTTGTGTAATTTTAGGGTTAATGGAAATGCTGCTGCAAAGCTCTTTGGTTCCCGTAGTAACCTGCGGTCTCTCTATTCTTGTCCTCAGACATCATCACGTGTCTGATGAAGACCTCCTGGGTCTCCATCAGCTCCAGCATCTCAACACTCTGGAAGTTCTGGATTCCTTTTACAGGCCAGATCCTAAAGATCCCAGCTGGGTCGTCTACAAGCCAAGTCCTCGTCTGCTGCGGCTGATCTCTGACCTGCAGAAACTGACCAATCACAAAGTCAGAGTCCTCACCAGTTCGCACGCAGACCTGCTGTCCTGTGGCTGCGTCTGACTGGAGACCAGGACCAAGAGCTGCACCAAAACCCTCTGACTGTCCAGTGGAACCAATCAGGGCCAGGTGCAGCCCAACTGCACTACTGATTGGCTGTGAGGTTCTCACGGTGCTAACGTTGAGGCTCTGCCCCCTGTGGTCTTCTCCGGTACTGTCCACTTTCAGCTCTGAGTGGGTCTGAAGTTGTTGCTCAACCACTGAGATTATTCTTTACTTTGTGAAGGACATGAGGTTTATTCTTTAGTGAAAAAGGATTTCCTTCGGTTCTTGCTTTTTTGTCACATTTTAAATGCTCGCGTCATCAAATGGATTTCATCATGAAACAAAGATGACCTCTGGTGACCTGTCCAGGGTGTAGCCTGCCTCTCCCGGTGGCCGTTAGAGATGGAGCTGTTTTGAAATCATAGTTTCATTTATCAACAACCTGATCTTATGTGAAAAAATAACGAAAGCTGCTACTCGGCATTCGAGAACATGAACAGCTTGTTTAAGGTCATGTCACAGAATTTTAATTGGATTAAACTCCAGACTTTGAGTAGGCCACTCCTAAACCTTAATTTTTTTTTTTATTCATTTAGCGATTGACTTGTTGGTACAACTCAGATCACAGCCCTGCTGTTTAGCCCCAATCTGTGTAAACTTAAAGGGGCAGAATTAGACATTTTTCTGCCACATGGTGCCGTTGTGTAGGAACTGTGTTGCCTTCAGTTGTTGTAAAGATGCTGCATATATCAAATATGTTTTGAAAGAAATCTGACTTCCCAGTTGAACACCTTGAAATTGGGCCTCTGTCTCTTTAAGAAATGCCCACTCTTCGCTCAGCAGACCCCAACTCCACCTGGTGTTTGCTAATTGAAGCTGCTGCTGCTAGTCTGAAGGAGCTGAGTTGAAATGGGCGATGCTCTTTTAAACATCTACACCCCGCCCACTTCCTGCCAGTGGTTGCTATGGGAGATTTGAGGATTCCTCAGAAATACATGAAAGCATCAAGGTATGATGAGGGAGTAAGATTATAATATCTTTAAGAACTGAAGGGAAGATGTTGCTCTGCAGTGGCAGCTTTGGCCTTGAAACTCTCCAGGATGTCATTTATATCCAGTCTCTCCCTTGTTGTTGAAAACCCTCTAAAGTGGCTTAATTAAACCAATTCCTGCAAAGCAGAGTGGGTCTAAACTCATCCACAGCCATAACTGGATGTGATTACCAGTTATCACAAACACTTGATGCAGCTGTTGGTAGTAAGTGAAGGACAACTAGTTATCAAGGTCTGCTGGGTCTGGGTGGTTTTGGTTCCGTTAATAAATGTAATCATCACATGGAAGCTACTTCCTGTATTCACCCGCTTATCTTTGATATTAAAATATGACAAAAAAGCAAAAGCAGAAGAAATCTGAAAGGTGGCAGAGACTTAGTGAGGCAGCTGAGGTTGGTTGTCCCTTTAGCTCAGTGAATGTCTGCACTACTGATTGGAATTCAGTTTTATGCCTCAATAATTTTTTTTTCATGTTGGATTCATGTTTGCAGCTTTAATTTTAAATGGAATGAATTTATACACCAGCTGTGTGTTAAGTGCCTTGGCCAGCTGGAATCAGACCCACAACCCACAGTCTCCTGAGCGTCATGCGGCTTGGTGCTCGCTGTCGGGTGACGGGGCGCTGACAGTGGAGTCCTGCACACCTCAGGTGATCCTGGCAGATCCAGATCACTCATCTTCTGCATGTAGCCAGAAAACATGGAGCATTCAGAGGAAGATACCTGATACTCGTCGAGCTCATTTTTTCTACTTTTACCTCTTAATACATCAACACTACATACAGCTCCCTAGAAGATGTCTGTTATATACAATGTGCTAAAGAAACCTGCAAGTGCCTGAAGTTTTGTTTTAATGAAGAACCTTTATGTACTTAGTGATTGTTTTTGTTGACGTTTTATTGTGGTTGCAGTTTTTGGCTCATCACTGATGTTTAAAGGGCCTGTTTAATTCACAACTTATTGTCGTCAAATCTTCCATCAGATCATGAAGGAAAATCTTCATATTTCCAGGGAAATAGCTACTCTTTCATTTATTAGCCTTTGTTTTGCTCTGATCTGTTTATACGGAATGATGGGAGTTCAAATTTTCAAATTCAAATTTTGAGCATTTTCATTCTAAATTGATCTAGTTAAATCAGAAGCAGCTCAGGTTCTGCTTTACTCCACCATTAGTCCAGATTAAAGAGCGAACATCAGATGTTTGACACATTCTGTGAAAAACCAGTGAGGACAAATACAGAATAAGTTTTTATTTCAAAATAAAAAAGTTAAATATTTACAGATTGAAATAAATTGAAAGCTTTCATGAGCAAATGTCTTGTTTCACCTCCATGAACAGAGCAGGGCGTTTTCGTTTCCATGTCCACTACATGATGGTCTGTCCTGTCTGAGGACAGAAGGCAGAGAGAAAACCAGTGCAGCTGCTAGAACCAGACCTCTGGACAGTTCTGGTACCGAGACAGATTTCCATTCTTGTCCATGGTTAACACCGTCCTCATGTCCAGCAGTACAGCTGCAGCAGCACATTGTGCTGAGATTCATTTCCAGCTGGCGGCTGGAAGAACGAGGCGCCGATCACTCTGCCGGCTCGCTCTCCTTCTGTTTCTTCTTCTTCTTCTTGGGCTTCTCAGCGACCTGGATCACACACACACTTCACTTAGTTCTGGTAAAAGGTCCTATCCACATACTGAGGAGGTTACTCCAACTCACCGGCGTGTCGGGCTCCTCCTCAGTCTTTTCTACCTCTGCCTCCTCTAGTTTTGCTTTTTTCTCCTTTTTCTTTTTCTTCTTCTCTTTCTTTATGTCCTCAGCAGACGGCGTGCTGGGCTGGGCCGCCTCACTGTCGCTCTCCGCTGACTCTCTCTTCCTCTGCAAGAATGTCACGATCACAGCTGATCAAACTTCAGGAAAAATGAACCGTCCGGTGCATTCACAGTGTACAGACAGTTTTCTGCCTCAAACATGACAAGATATTTAATGTCAGGAGAGGATCTTTAAACTAAATATTCATCAATTTGGAAAGCAAACAATTTTTCTGAATCCCAAAAAAATAAATCACCGTGCCTATTTGAATTAAAGTCATTAAATTCTTCCTTCATGGGAACAACAAAATACTTTCTAATCCACAGCCCTGTTCTACACTTTTCTTCCAGGTCTGGACTCTCAGCTGCGAGATACGAAGTTTTAAACTTTAACTAAAAGCTAACATTTCGTCATGACATTTGTAATGCATGGTGTGTGCATCTATCCATAAATACACTCCTTCCACTTAGAACTAACAATGAAGAGTTTGATCATGTATATGGCAGTCAAGGAAGTGTAGATTAAATGATAAATTAGCTTGCCGTATCTTGCTACTCGACAGGCAGCTTGTTATGACAGCAGACATAAAGGCCATTGTTCTAAAAATGGAGCTCTGAAATGTGATCTCACCTTAGCGGAGGCGTCGCCTGAGGCCGCCACACTGGAGGCGCTGCAGAGAAAAACACATGTTGACGTTAAACTGCCTCAGGGCCTGAAACAGCTGAGACTGTTCTCTGGGGAGCGGGGCCCCCGGCTGCTGCTGGCCAGGGGCCGAGGCTCCGGGCAGAGAGTTCATGTAGCAGAGCGACTCCCTCAGAGAGCACGGCAGCTCAGAGAGGGATAACTCTCTGCAGTGAGAGGGGGCCACCAGCAGGGGCCAGCAGTGAGTGCAGGGTACCTGTAGTCAACATACTGCTCCTTCCAGTCCTGAGGCGTGCTGCCGTTGGGTTTACCATGTTTATCCAGGAGGCCCTTCTGAATCATCATCTTCTTCTGGCTCGCCTGGTTCACAGCATCAGACCAGAGGTTACACACACAGGCAGTGTTTTTGTGTCTTATAGGGCCTTGACATTGATTTCCAATTGATTATTTTCTAAAGTTCAATCTGAACCAAAACACAATTCACACCTTAGTCCTAAACCTAACAACAACAGTTCCCCTCCTGGGGACCAGGATTTGTACAAAAACCTGGTTCACACACACAAACACGAGAGCTTTTATTAACTATTCAATAATTAAGAATAAATGCTGCCTCATATCGACTTTGGTGGATTTTTTTAAAATCAGTAATATGTTATTTATGGCATTACCTAAAAAAACTTTTGATTGGAAATCAATTTATATCGCATAAAATTATATTTAACTTACATTTAAATAATGTGATTTCTCACATCATCGAGATAAAATTTCTTATTATTGTGGTCACAATAAATTTAAATGAATGTTTTCAGTATTTTCTCCAGTATTGAATGAATATCATTACATCATGAAATGCATTTGAAAACATGATTAAATGCAGATCAAGAGCATCATTTGTGTTTGTGAGGATACAAGCCGTAAATAGTTCACTTTAATCATGATATTACAAATATTGTGAACACTTCCAGAAAGATAAAAGTAAACATTTCAATAAGTTACTTTAGCTGATATTTTAGGATAATTGAAAAACAGATTTTACTTCTTTTTTTGTTTTACATTTGATTTATAAATTCATGTTTCATTTTGTTTTTCCTTCCAACTTTCTGAGGCGTCTCTAGCGCGCCTTAGAAAAACCCATTAGACAACTGAAGGCTCTTTCTCCGTACCTTGGGCCCCAGGCCCCACTTCCTGGGGTACGTGTCCCGCTCCATGATCACCCTCTTTATCTTGGCGACAACTCCGTGGTCGCAGGTGGAGATCACCGCTGTGGTCATCAGAGCCACGGCTGCAGTGAGAGGACAGGCGTCAGTCTGGTGACCGGTGGGTGTGAGCGGGCGGCAGGCTCCCCCAGGAGCCATCAGGTAAGGGTGATAGATAGCAAGTCATCACGGCCCGGAAGCTGCTGCATCTACTCAGATCATCATGTGGCGTCGGCATGACAACCCGCTGACCAACCCGCTCTCACCTGTGCAGATGGCCTCGCCCTTGGTTGTTATGACGACGATATCCTGGTTGACCTCGATGCCGTCTTCATAGCGGAGCACGCCGGGCAGCATGATCTTGGCGCCGTAGCAGATGGCGTTGACCTGCAGACGGGTCAGAGGTCACAACCACAGAACCAATCCAAACACCAGCAGGATGGAGTTCACACTGCACTTTTATACTTTCATTTTTTATACAAATAGACACTACATGTTTTACACAACCAACTTTTATTTTGCCAATCTTTACACCATTTTAATACAAAACCTGTTTTAGACGGATACGGATCTGATATTAACATCTGTATCAGTCCTGACACTAAAAAACTAAATCCAGATGAGCCTTCAGTGACAATATTCTTGTTCCAGATCTATTCAGAACATCATGCTTTATTATTCACTTTATCTTCTATTTAGAGTTCATAATTGCTCTTTCTGAACATTTTGGTTTGTACAGTTTATTTTTAAATATTTGTCCAAAATAGTGAATTTATTGTTTTTGCCTGAACAAATGAAAGTTGTTTTCCACCTGAACGGCTCCGGCTGGTGCAGCAGTTCAAGAGTTCTGCACTGCTGCAAATAAATAATTCACTCCATTTAAAACAAATGTCTTAAGTTGTGTCAGTTGCTTTCTGTAATGTTGTGGATGCCAGGAAGATGAGCGATTGTCATGGTGACAATTAAAGGGGATGCAACAGAGAAACGTGAACAGAAAGTTGAGTCTGTTTCCAGGGAGGAAGACTCACCGCGCTGTCCTTCATCACCAGCCGCTTGTGCGACACCAGCAGCTTCTCCAGAGGGAAGATGACTCTCCTCAGGTACGTCTCGTCCTTGTTGTGGTCAAACTGCCACTGGGCATCTAGAACATCGTGCATTGTCACCAGGTTGTCCTGCAAGCATACAGCCACACTGAGCGTTGTTGGCAGCTCTGAGCCTCGGCGGTCGGGACGCTCCGGCCGCCGCGTCTCCGCTGCTCTTCCTTCTTCCAAAGGCTAATTAACAACTCAGCACTGAACAGCAGAGCTGGACTCAACGCTTTGGACCTCTGGCTGGAACCAGAACTCCTCCTGACCTTCTCTCCCAGGACTCCGGAGCGGACCCGCCGCAGCTCCTGCATCTGCCCCCCGACGCCCAGCAGCAGCCCCAGGTGGACGCACAGGGTCCGGATGTAGGTCCCGGCTTCGCAGCTGACCCAGAAGATGCCTGTTGGAAAGGACAGACAAGTTTAAATAGACGTGGACGTGTGAAGACGGCTGCTACAGCAGTCTGGACTCTGTATCGGTCCAGCCTGGTTCTGACTCAGGACAGCTCTAGGCTTCATCTGGACCGGGATAAGAAGCAGCTCCTCACCCAGCCTCCTCTCTGGGTCGTACTCTATCAGCTTGCTCTCATAGATGGTCCGGACTCTCAGCTGGCGTTTCACTGCAGCGATCAGCGGCGGACGCTGGAACAACGCTCCGGTCAGCGTCTCCAGGGCCTGTCACATGACCACATGTTGTATTAGCATGTAAACTGTAAGTCCAGCACATTCTGCTCAAAGTGGAGGCTCACCCGGGCCAGAACGTGCTCGCTCTCAATTGCATTGTGCAGCCGGACGATTCCCACATACTCCTTACCTGGAATGAGAGCAGAGAGGTCATGACCTTCACCACGTTATAAATGGAAACATTGTCATGTTTCACTGAGCAGAACGTCTGTTTTACTGATTCATCACATCTTCTGTTTTTCAAGATTTTGTTTTTGGAAATATTTTGATAGATTTACTATTTTGATAGTAAATGCCCATTAGTGTGGGGGGGGGGGGGGTGTTCTTTTTCTCCTCCCCATTAATGAACTCTTCAGGTTTCCATAGTTCAGCCATCTTGTTTGGTAACAAACAAGATGGCTTCAGGTCTAATAAATAGACCTGAATAACTGACATAAAAGGCAGCTTTTGGAAATACTTTCTGTCATTTGGAATTACCTTAAGAAAATAAAGTGAGAAAAGAAATGTATTAAAATGAGATTAAGTATGAAAAAATGGGGGACTTCAATTTTAAGCCATAGTCTCTGTCCTGATGACGCAGCTCATAGGCAGCTGATGAAGGGAACCC